TTATATTTCAGGAGAAAATGAAGTTCCATCTGAAGATGCCCTAATACTACAACTGCAGCTTGCAAAAGGGCATGAGAAATTTACTGAAATGCTAAAAAGTCATCAGCAGATCATTGTGGATTTGCAACAAAAACTCGCTGAACAGCAGCACGTATTGATTAACCAGCAACGGGAAATTCTTGAACAGCAAAGAAAAATGTATGAGCAAATGGATTTAATCAAAGTTCAGTATGGCATGCTTTTTGACACAGTGAAACAAATGTCATTTCAGAGTTTGCAAGAAGATATTCAAAACTATTTTGAAAGTCATCTTCAAGGACTTCAGAACCAAGTCAGAAATCATCTCCAGAAGTCATACTCTGTCCATAAAGTAGAAGTGGATGCAAAAGTGATTAATGTTGGGGAGTCTTTGTTGGACTGTGGTCTTTGTGAAAGTGATGAATTTTGCAATTTCCAAAAGACACCTTCACAGTGTGAAAAATGCACCTTGTGTCCCGCTGGATTTTTCCAAATGGCCGAGTGTTCTGCAAACTCTGATCGGATTTGTCAGGTGAAGTATAATTCTGTATCTTGCAGTTACTGTTTAGGAAGTGTTGTGCCAGACATACCAGGATGGATTATGGAAATATCTGCACAGAGAGAGTGGGGAGATCTGGTTTGAAGAGGGTATTTTGGTGATTGGGACTGTGTTTTCCTGGAATTTTCTGTGAGTTTTCTCCTTACTATTTGTTCCTCCAAGAAAGGCAAAAGTTTATGCCTGCTAGGTGTAAAGCTTTCACAAATCCACTGGCTGGCAGCACATAGATCTTATTCATCATTGTAGGAAAAGGCATCCTAAAACACATACAATTATGTATACTAAATTTGTATATTTAATCTTAGTTCTGCACTAAATACTAGACGTGTTTGAAGAATAGAGGAAATCTTTATTAAGTAAAACTTAATAACCACACATTTATTTACAGGATCAGAAACCAAAGTTGGTAGTTTGATTTAAAATGTAGTTTCATCTTGAATGTAATGTATAAACATATAAAATGTAGCACAGTGATATTTTATTATAAAATGCAAAATAACTTGTAAACACAATAAGATGCTTCTTTAGTCACTTTCTTGTGTTTAGAAGTTCTAAGATGTATGGAGATCTTGATATTTAGAGCAATTTCTTCTTTGCCAAGTGTTTCCCTCAATTCTTAGGTTAATGTGAGCCTGAACACCTGGTGACCTAAGCCCATGTTACTCGGGAGAGAATCTAAAAGACTCTTTCTGTTCCCTTCTCTCTCTGCAAGTCTCAGTTTTCTTTAATGCCGTCATTTGAATGCAAGTGTAGCCTGTCATTCTTTCCCCTTTACCTGCTGTAGAATGAGAGCGGGGTTTGGTATCAGGAAGGATTACTTTTATTTTAACATTTAACTTTCTCTAGTGTTTTTCAGTTAGCTCCTTCCACTCAGCCTAAGTGCCTTTAAGAGCCTTTTGTAACACTTTCTTGGTTGTTACAGTGTCCTTAAGACCAGTTGAGTGATGCAGCGGTCTCAAGAATATAGTACTGCCTTACAGATCATGTATCATATCAAATAATGGTTGTACAACCAGCCTGCTTAGCTCATGACCTGCACACTAATAGCCATCTGTACAGACCATGCAACCCATTCAGATACGTGGGTAACAGAAGTGTTAAATCCAAAACAAGTTGCCTTTTTCCATTGTGTCTATGAGAGCAAATCCATTTCCCTCCCTATATAGACTTTTTGCAGGGAAAAGAGTGTCCCAGAGCCTGAGGGAGAAAGTGCCTGTTTTGAACTTAAGTTGTGGGCTTGAAGTGTTTCTTGTGTTTACAGGACAGAGATGAATGCACTGACTCTCCAAGCATTTGTGGTGAAAGGATAAAATGCCTGAATACACCAGGTAAGTTATATTCTGTTATAAAGAGCAAAAATGATTAGATCTTCAGGAGCAGGTCAGAGCAGGATAAGGACTCAAAACTGTGTGTGAGTAATGACATGCTCAGCTTGCTGGAATCAAAGCGTATGAAAAATCCTCAGGTGTAAGCCAATAACAGTTCCTATGGACAGTGAACATTTAGGATGTGATATTTGTATGAGTTTGGATGTTCCCTATTACCATGTTTTCATTTTTTATATGCTTTGGTTTTAATGGCCACTTTTGACCTTTCTTCTTGTTTATGCAGGTGAAAGTGGTGTCAAAATCAAAGATATTATTCCTAATGGAGAAGCACAGCTGTCAATTCCCATCTGCTGCACGAGGCTAGCTATCTGATTTGATCTGCGGAGGTTAAATTTGATCTTATAAGGCCTTTCTCCATCAATCTCATTCTCCCTTAGTGACAATATTGCCAAATAATAAGGAACAGTAAACAGTTTTCATCGTCTGCAGGGTGGGGTGGTGGATTTTCAGACATCTAGGAGTAGGTTTGGATGGAGCTGTGCACTTCAGGCTTCTCCTTCATTAGTCCTCATAGGAATCAGGCATAGAAGAGCAAAGTTAATAAATGTACTGTGTAAATCCTATCCAGGTGGTAGGTTTCTTTCTGAGGGGGAAAGACTGTTTTCAGCACCTTATGACTGGTTTTACACTATTTCTGCCCTACCACTAGGGCAGAAAAAAAGTAGATGGGAATTGGTCATAGGAAAACATTAGAAGAGGACCTGGGTGTTTAGGTTCACGTGAGCAGGAACTCTAAAAATTGGATGGAATTAGTACAAAGACCACAGAAAGCTGGAAATGACCGGAGAAAGTGAGCACCTAGCACTGCTTTACATGGCAAATGCCATTGAGGAGGTACCATCAGTGTTAGAAAAGACGATATGGAGCCAAGACTGCTCTCATAAAGAGCCTTAGCAGTGGGTAGTGAGCCATTAGAGGCAAGACAAATCAGAGAGGCACAAAATTTGAGCCAATACATTGGAAAGGTCTGAGGCTGTATCTCCCTACTAAAAGGTGGAGTTTGGAGTGCTTAAATTGGTGGTTTTGTGGAAGGAAGTCTATTGGGCCTGTGTTAGTCATTTGGTGTTGCTCTAGCTTTTGGCTTAGAAGGGGGGACAGTTGTAAGGAATCTGTCCTGAGGGCTTTATGATGGGGGGAAGCTGTCCACTGCTGGGGGGGATGTGAGTTAGGGGAAAATATTGCCATGAACTAGGCAGATAGATGTGTGTGTCAGACCAGAGAAAGTAAGTAGCAATGGATCTGAAAGGAAAGAAGTCCTCTCCCTCTTTTTCCTCCTCTCCAGATTTTAATGGTGGCCCATAAATATGTGAAAGCAAGCTATCTCCTGTCATCTGGATCAGGAATCAATGTCCTGTCTATGTCCTGCTCTGCTATGGAACATAGTTCATTTCTTATTTTTTGTTATTAGAAAAGACTGATAGTTTCAGCCTGTTCGTTCATAAGAGCTCATTATCTTACACAAGTACAATTAAGTAGTCAAAGGAGAGGCTAAAACTGGATGTCTGGTTTGGGTAATGTAGAGTAGATGGGGATGTGAACTGACATATGAGTTCCAGATGTTGTATGTGGTTTCTTGAGCTGCACGCAAGAGTGTTGCATCTATAGCAACTCTTGTTTATGGCACAATGTGAAGAAGGATAGAGCAAATAATGGTAAAGAAACAAATAACTTGGAGCCTCTCATTCCTCACTCTTCTACTTTTCTCTGTATCATATATCCTCTTTACCTGCTGCTTTTTCCTCTTGTTATCTGGGATGAGAGCTATTGGGGTGGGTGATTAAGGG